ATAACTTCTATGGGATGAGAAAATGTGTTGCTAAAAAAAGAAAAAGTAAAGGAAAATTAAAAATGAGAAACAATTTGTATCCTCTTCTTTGCAAATAATTTTATTCCAACATTTTTGATAATTTTCACAAGGTCTATTTACTTCAAAAAAAAAATTCATAAACACATTAAGTATTTGACGAGTACAAAAGTTTCTACGAACGGCAGAATTTAAGTTTAAATTGTACTCAAGCATTCTATGCCAAGCATACAAAATTCTTTACGAATATTCAAACGTTTCGATATCAAACATTGACATATCCCAGTTAATAACACTACACTGCCTAGAAAAAAGCAAAATGTAATGAAGATAAAATATGGAAAAGTTACAATGGAATTACTACAACAAAATGCAATGGTTGTGAGATGATATTTCAAAAAGACAGCAAATTGTGAATTCTTATAGTTGATAATTTTTACCAAATCTCTATAAAGAATTTCCTCATTATTACAACCTTGTTTCATCAAATACATTGTAGTTTGTTCTTATCCCTCTCACCATGATGTTTTATTTTTTTAGTGCTCACGCACTATGTGCTTTCCATCATGCCAATGCAACGACGTCAAAATACTTTAAATAAGTACAAAGAAAAAATGTAAACAACGACCTCGCTGTAAAAGATAATTTAAAATTTTAACATTATAATAAATCGATTTAAAACAACAGAATGCTTACTTGTTTACTCTTTTAAAGTACTATCGAAACACAAGTAATCCACATAAAGCGCTATTAATTTTAAACCGATTTTTAAAAAAGTGAGCAGTCTAATATATATTTGTATTTAATATGATATTAAGTCATCATACATATCATACATGTTCAAAGTCTGGAAATGAAAAATACATTTTTGGCACAACTTGGAATTAAATACCATACAACCTTCAAAAAAAAAAAAGTTTCAGATAATACGAAAGCAAAGATCTCATGTATTGATTTTCCAATTCTTTCTAGTTATTTCAATAGGAGAATAACTTGAAAATGATTTGCAAAGAAGTAGAAAAACTCGTAGCATAATTTGAAAGAAAATGCAATATAAATGATATTATAATAATTTTTGCCAACTTTCTGAGCAGCACTTAGTTTACTCTCTAATAATAAATGAAAATGCTACAGGCGACATCGGAATTGTCTTTTCGCAATTATAATTTTCTTTCTAAGTAGAACAGTTTTTCTTCACAATCAAGATGAAAAAAGTTTACCTAAAATATTTGGTGGAATTACTGAGACTTTAAAGATTTTACAGCTGAAAAGAATCCATAAAAATGTTTCAAGTTCATAAATAGTTCATGAAGTGTTCGAAAATTTGATTTAAAAAAATTTAAAGAAAAATTTGAGTTGAAAAAATTTAAGCTAAGACACAATATTAGGTAGAGGTGAAGTATGAAAAAATTCCAAGCTCCATGAACAAAGCAAGTATGGAAAGTGAAGCAATCCCCAAATTCTCAAAAGATGCCTGTTTTTGATAATGCTTGTCTCTTTAATCAATTATTTTGGTTCACTTATTTTTCAATATTAAAACTTAATTCTGCAAAAAAGAAAAAAAAATTAAATCGGCAAAATATGCATATGAAAAAGGGAAATGGGAGAGGTATGTTATGTATAATATAAAAAGAACTGTGGAGAACAGGAAAGAGAGAGAGAGAGAGAAACTTGATGCAGTAGAAGTATGTTCCGCAGTTGAAGCAAGGACAGTAAACTAATTTCTTTTTAACTAGAACCGAATATTGTACCTTAGATTGAAAAGTGTGAATTTACAGTTAACTGACAGAAGAATGTGAGATTGAAAAAGGGTGAAATGACATAGAAAAACTTCAAAGGACTCAAAAACAAAAAATTTTGTAATAGCTGCTGCAAGTCGTGCAGTTAATGGACAAAACTGCTATAGTTGAGCGATTTCACGGATTTTAATGAGACGCATCGATACTGATGCCCTCCTATCTGTACTGGGTTGTATTCTACTGTATCCTAGCATAACAAAATTGTGTGATACATCTCTAAGTTCACGTTCAGACAGAAGTGTTAATGAACAGCAAAAAGGAAAACATCAATATCAATCATAATTTTAGGCTTCAACAATCATAATAATAATAATAATAACCATCAAAAATTCTAGGCTTCAAACTCAAAGCACAGTGCAGTGTTTAGCACATATTACTGCATGTTCCGCAGTTGAAGCAAGAAGAGTAAACTAATTCTAAAATGGTTATGCATACTGATATATTTATCCCACTGCAAAGAGAAGCAACCTTTATTTTAAGTCATATTTTCACTGCTTTGCATTAGGATTACAAAATCTTTAAAAACTCAAGTTTATAAAAATTGAAAGGCGAACGAAAATTTAATACCTGTAAACACTGTCTGTGTATCATATCACATTTTGTAGCAGGAGGACAACAATGAATAAGATCATTGCAGCATACTGCATCCATCATCGGACAACAACCATAAATACCTTCATTAATTAGACAACAGGTTGCTGAGTCCGGACATACTGATTTACCTCCAGGACAACTATGCGTAATCTAAAATGGCTTTAACTTAGTTAAAGAGCCAGAACTATCGACTAAAGTTTGAAATTAAAGAATATTGTTCCTAAAACTAGGTCTTATGAGTAATCTTGTGAAAACTAGTGAGAATATTGTTGTTAAAACTAGGTTTTATCATTAATCTTACGAAAACTATTATTTGTTTGGTATCTTTTGTATATATAACGATTAAGAGCTTAAAAGATTAATGTCGCGTCTGTCTGCTTTGTGTTTTAAGTTTACACATGAATGGCAGACTTATTCTCCAAGTTTATTCTACACTTTTCTATTTCCCAAATGCAGTCAAACTAAGCGAGACGCCTATTTTATTTGAAATTCTATCTGCAAAAAAATATGCGCAAAAAACAGCGAATAGTCGAAGAAATCAGGACACTAAAAGAGAGATGAATTCGTTCCTTGAAGGAAGTACAAAACTTTAATAAAGCTATCTAAAGGATTTTCGATAACAACAGCAACTTAAACAGACAAATTTATTTTTCGATGATTATCAGCAACTCTATAATTCCATGAAAATCAATAAAGCTTACCACAGCTTTATCAGAAGCAGCAATGGCGAAAAAAAGAATAAGTAATATCATATTCCTTAAAATAATGAATTTATATTATCTCCATAAAATGAACATGAACATTTTTGCACAAACGTTGGTATATTCACAGCAGCTATTATTTTAACAAAAGGAAAATATTAAAAAAAACATTTTAATGTATTTTTTATGTATAAAAAAAAATATTTTAATGTATTTTAATGTATAAAAAAATATTTTCATTTCATCTCAGCCACCTGATAAAAGTCTGTTACAGATCCAGTCTACACTTGAATGTGACACAAAACATTATACTGCCGATTGTTTACCGTTTATCCTTCCATTATCCCTTAAATCAAAGTGATAAGTGGTACGGCCGATAAATGATGTGAGATTATCAATGGTAATATGGTCAACTGCTGAGATAAATATAATTCCAGCAATTAGATAACGTCAGATGAAAGTTGGAAAAGAACTGCAGCACTGTCCATAAATGAGATAAGAAAGACACTGCTATTGGCAATCTAACAAAAATGTTTTCCAGCATGATTCGCTGGATGGCTACTTTAACCGGTACTCAATTCAGTAGTAATTAATAAAACATCAATCCCATTTCTTGTTGTTGATGAATTTATGAACTGGAAATAGTATCCAAAAAATTAAATTAGTAACTTTAACTTTTGTAAATATTAGACAAGATTAGTGATATCAATCGAACATGGTTAAATGACATGAAGTGCTAAATCATGAGGTAGATGTACGTCAATAAGAAGTATATACTACCCTATTGCTGTAGATATTTCACCATATATCAATCTGTTTCATACAGACAATTAGCATAACCGATATTAATCCATCTGTTTGGAACCTGAAGGGTATTCATTTCGAATAAGAGGCTGACAACCAGAAACAGACGTTATTAACATCCCTCAGGCTTCCAATACTTTAATTTCTTGTCACCGGACGGTTTTGTCATAACTCAGTTAAAAAAGAGCACTAATTACAGAAGGCTTACAACCATTACCATAATGCTTCACTGAGATTTCCTTCGTGTTGAATGACTTATGGAAAACAATAAAGAAAGTGCTTGTCATTGTCGTCAGCTAAAATCAATCTATAACAAAACATTAGATGACGGAAGCAAAATGATACAAGTTGAGGGCCAGATGGCATATACTAATTAATGAATCGAATTTGGAAACAAAGTGGAATTCAGAAATTTAATTCTAAAAGAACCTGTCCCCTCAGCATGAAAAAGCAAACAGACCCTACTGGTTACAACTTCATCTAAATTTTAATTATAATGATCGTCAACTTGAGATTAACATATTTCATTTCGTGCTACAGATCGTTGCTCACAATATGCTAGGACGAAAGTGCGGGAGAGTTGAAATGTGAATTCGTACTCTTTGCTGCTGGGGAGGCTTTTGATTGTGATATTTAAATATATGTAATGGAGGGGTATACCACAAAGCTATTTGCAGTATTATTTGAAAATCTGATGTTTGAAAAGCACCAAATTCTAAGGTCTGAAAGACATTCGACTGAAATGAGATTTCAGGAGACTCCAGGATAATCGAATGTCTCGGAGAATGACGGAAATATTATCTACGAAAAGCAACTCTTCTTCTTTTCATATTGAGACGCCTAACTTTTTGAAGGCATTTCAAATTCGTCACGGTTTGTTCGTTTTATTTACTTGAACTGAAATGGTTATTATCGCCGATGTATTCATTCGTTAAAATGTAAAGTGTTATTCATTTATTTTGCTTTAGTTTGTTAAACAAATAACTATATTGTTTGAAGTAAATCAAATATCAGGAGACTGACAAAAACTCTTTGAAGCTTTCTACCATCCGAAATTACGGATTCCACGGAGCACAATTTATGGATGGAAGCTCAACTCAAAGCTTTCGAATTCTTAAGTCCTTTTCAAGATAACCATATAGAAAATGTAAGAAAGTCTAAGATTTTAGAAGGTATGCGTTTTATATTATACTATTTACTTGTTTTTATCAGTTCCGAATTTGTAAATTTAAACTGATTACCAGATTAGTTAAGATTTTCCAGTTTTTTTTTCTTTTTTTTTTTTTTTTTACAATTTCTATTGTTTAAGGTGTGTTAGCATTTGTGGATGTAAAATTGGAGAAAACGTCAGTTCTGCATCAAATGTTAAGTGATTTAGGGGCCAGTGTCAATTTACGGTATGTTAGTTTTTTTATGACTAAAATGACGTCAGCAATATCAGTTCATTGAAGTGTGAAGTACGTGGTGTTATTTTTCTTTAGTTGTTAGACAAATAAGTGAATTTCATAATTACACACACAATATTCTTAGAATTAGTTTTAAGAAACTAACTTTTTCTGCTGTTTTAAAACTTATTTAAAAAAAATTTTTTTTTGTTCGAAAATTGTCATAAAGATCAAAGTAAAAAATTAGCATAAGCGAGATAATAAATCTTCTTTTCTTAGATGTGCACTTCATAAAATTTTCTATCTAGACTTTATATATATAATATAAAACAGTTTCTTATGCTCGAAATTCTGCTTTTATATTTTTGAATGAAATTGCTGTCAATAAAAAGATTTCAGCAACTTTAACCATTTCTCTACTGCTTTTGTATTGCTTTCCAGATTTTCAAAAAATATTACTCATTTAATATTCTGGAATGGTCGGCAAGAAACGTTAGACAAAGCGCATCGTTTGGGAACAAAAATTTTATTAATTTCGCCTCACTGGGTGTTGTAAATTATTGCTATTAAAAATTATTCTTTCAATTCCTTTCACTTCTTTGCATCAGGTATATAGCATAGGCCATAAATTCGATAGTGTCATTTTCTTCTTTTATTTTTTATACGAAATAGTAATAAATTTCATAGTCATTTTTATCTACTTCAGATGTTTCATGAATCAAATTCGAGTTGATGAAGCTCCTTTTCTGTTGTATGGTGTAAAGGATCTTGCTGTTCCGATGAGATTAATGGCTATGGGACGAATGGGAACAATTAATTTGGTATTTGATGATCAGAGTAAACCTGTCATTCGTAATGTAAAATAGTGAAGAAAATCGTAATACTGGATAATTGCTTGTTTATAGCTGAGTACTTAGAAAGCTATAAATAAAAACTTAAGTGAAATCATTTTTTTAATTCTAGTTTTGATTCCAAAATTACAAGTAAAACTCCACTTGTATGGTCTATTTTCAAGATGGTTTAGATGTAAGCATATGTAAATATAATACTGCTAAAACATTCTTCAGAATTGTCATGGCAGAGCTTTAAATTCATTTGGCAGTTCAGCAAACCACTCACAGATAGTACATGCGATCGAAACGCTCTCTGACCAGCTTGCTTCCAAACTTAGTAAGTTATGTAGATTATAGAGCTATCTCTTTTTAGACTCACATTATTCCATCACATGCATTAATAAAGTTCCCTGTTTTTCTGAGGTTTTTAACATTAAAATGTCGGCCCACTACATAACAAACATACCTTTAATTTTTAACATCCTCGTTTATTCACTTATTTGTAGTTAGTACAAAAAAAAGCACCTTTTAATATTACTCACTATAATGAACACAGCAGTAAGGTTCAGTTGCTTTTTTCATCAGTTTTCTCATTTTATTTTAACCACTTTAGTATACTTC